CGTTTCACTGGGAACCCGGGCACCCGGTGAAAACTGTGGCGGCGGCGCGGCAGGAAATCCTCTGGGAACGATCTTTATGATGTGTACGCCAATGCTGAAAACGGCCGCTGCCGTCGTCGTCAACGCCGCCGAATTTATGCCTTGAGTCTAAGCCATAATACGGATTTATATAATATGACACTATAAGGCCGAATACTCGCGTTTATGCGTAGGATGCTTTTAGGTACCTGTACCTGTAAAACTGCGTTTTCAGAGTCGACGACCACCGTCCGATGTATATAAAGGTTGTAAATTATTTGACGAAACTTATAAAAATGATATTTTTCACGACACTTGCTGCCAACCACTGAAGAATTTATAATAATTTAAATATTATACATCAAAATCATGCCTAATGTTTTCGTAAAATATTTTAATAGATCAATCATTTGACACTGAACCAGTGAAACGCTGATATAGTGGTTTGAACCGTTATGCATATTATTATATATACCTATATAGGTACTATACGCGTCATGTGTATATTACAACCGACGTCGATGAATCGTATAATTTCCATATAATTATACAATGCGAGCATTTCCAATGAGAAACACTTTTTTTTCAAAATAAATACAACAAAAAATCACAAGAGTTGTACTCCTCGCTTTATATATGGCGGTCATTGACAATATTTGAGTGTGGCTTCGGTTGTAAGGACACAACCTTGCAGCAGTCTCTCCAAAGAAACTATATATAAATTGTTTGCCCACAGTGTTGGCGGTAACGAATTTCATGATGTAAGTTTTCGGTACCATAGGCTGGTCACTGGTAAACGTTTTCGATTTCAACGAAAAATTGAACTAAGCAAAAACAAGTACGAACCAATACGTGCCAATTTGTATCATCCTAATATCTTTTAACCGAACGAAATTACAAGTGTAAGCAACGCTTACTGTGCTTGTATAATGTATGGACATGGCAGGCGCCGGGGTGGCTAAGATAGCTATAATAGTCTCCCCCATTTACCGTGTTTATTTTAGCCAACAGCCGTTAATACTTGATATAATATTAAAATATAATTTCATAATTTTCAGTAATCGTCCTTATCAAAACCTTTAATGTGGATGATTTTATATCAACGATATGATTAGTTAACTATACTATGCAGCGGTTAAAATAATGGCGGCGCGGTACTTCAGTTGTATCAGTCTCCATTATGCCAATTAGTAAGCAGGACCTTATAAATTAGGGTGGTTACTATTTTTTTTTAACACGAATGATAAACAGAAAAATGTATTTTCAATATTTATCGATATAACTATTTAATTAAGATTTAAGCATCAAACTGATCATTTAGTAGTTTATTAAAATTCAAATTGTGTAAAAACAATCTTTATAACCGGTTTATTTTTAGTATTATGTATGATTGCAATTATGTTCGAGGTATTATGCTTTTGTTTTAAACAGTTCATTGCATAATCTATAAAAAAAAAACAACATAGTTTTCAGAAAAAGTGTAAGTGAAATAAACACGTTGAAAGCAGGGGAATTCTCTTTTTTAGTGGGAATTTGGCCCGTTACCTCTGGGTACAAAATTACTGACTGCAGCGTGCCACTGAACTATGGACGCTCATTAACTACGTCATGACATAATATGATTTTTATATACGACAATATTACGTGAAATATTGTGAAAAAACAAAAATTCTGGCGGCAATCTTATAACGAACGTGGTTACGCAGTCCGTCTAAACGTTATCGTGTGCGGTATCATACGGTATGTTATTACGATTTTTGGAGCCAATTAAGATTTTTATCGCGTTATGGCCCGTTCTCTGGGGGGGGGGGGGGGTATACAATATATACGTCGGTCGAGTCGTCACTGAACTCGCCTAAACTATATACAACTGCTTTAGCTAATTCGCAACGAAATGAAAAACAAAATAAACGATACAGGAAATCAAAACAAGGGGTGGTCGATCGACCGAGGTGGTAATTAAATAATATAATTATATTATGTAGTATTATTATTGATAGTAATATATTAATTATGTGTATGTTTATTTTTTTCATAATTAAATGATAATAATAATGATATTATATGTACATGATTACTGGGCTTCACTGAGATAACTCGTGCGAGGGACTGGAAAATATATTTTGTAAATAATTCTGTGTTGTACATGTACCCAAATGGACAACATGACCATTAGAATATATAATATTATGGATAAAACCAAATAGAGATAAAAGTAACAATTTGCAATGATATTTGTAACCCTCCGATAAGCTTGTGATAGGTTTTAGCTTTTGTAGGTGGGGAGAGTTTGATGGAGAAATATTAAATCAATACTCGGGTTTGATTTTCGACAATACTATAGTAATATCATAATATTATGATAATAATATGTTAAGTTATCAATATATTGCAATAATTTCGGCCGGAGCGATCGTCGTCGGCATCCCTCCTGCGCATAATATTATGATAATATGATGAAGTGTAGGAAGACGTTTTTATTTTCTCTCTCGTTTTCCCGGTTTACAGTTAAAAAAAAAATAATATACAAATATTTATATTAAATATATATGTATAGGCGCGTTCTCGGCAATGAATCATCTTCCCGAGTGCCCATTATACAATATATGCCGTGTATGTGAAATAATATATTATAATTAATTGGATAATGGCGTGGACGGCGGCAACTACGTAGGAACACAACAGCGGTATACTTGGTAGTATTGGTATACGTTTGTATAATATGTACGGCGATATCATGATACGGACTCACCGTAAAAAACCCGTAGCTACAAAACCGGCCGGTGCGTTTCACTTGATAATAACAATATTATTATGCAGCCGAGACGGACTGACACGATGGTAATATAGATGATAAAACCTCGGCGAAGGAGAAAAATAGATTTTACGCTCTGAGGCGTACTTTGGGGCTGCACAAGACTATGAGGCGGGTGGAGGGAGAAGGGGCTATAGGTTTGCGAAGCGCTTTTTTACATGGCCCAAACCATATTACATATATAAATAGTTTTAGTTGGTTTCCAAACACATAAGTTCACCTTAGACATCCGTTGTGTTCATGCAGTCAAGTTTTCAGTAGGTACGTGGGATTACGACTTACGATTGTTGCTGTAAATAGATACTTATTTGTATTGATCATTGTCCTCGTGGTCTTAACGTATTTTATAATTATATGGAATTGAAGTGTATTGCGTTGCATTTAAATACGTTTAAAAAGTTAGAATTTAGCACACTCGCAGAACGAGCTTTATTCTCATAACGTCTTGTTCGTAACGAAAATAATATTGTGCGTGATCTTGTTAGTAGCTTATTTTTTTTTTTCTATTTACTCACTTTTATTTTTATGACATCATAATGAATACAATTAGTTTGTGCTTTTAAAAAATTTACGTTCATGAATATTGTGCTGCTGTGGGAAGAGGGCGGGAAGGATGAGGGGAAACGAGGAAAACAGTGTCGAGGCACACCAGAACTATATACACCACCTGCAGAATATTCCACGTCTGAAAACCCACTTCGACGGCGACGGCTCACTTTGTGCGCGATTCGCGGCGGGCGGTGGAGATGACATCGCGAGACGTTTTTTAGTCTCCCGGGAGAGAGCGGCGACGAAATTTGATTTGACGTGTATACTCGGGTCTTTTTTATCGCGACTTTTTATCCGATCAACGTATACGTACGCAGTAAGCTCTTCGGAAATACGCGAGGATTTGATGTGGACAACAACGTCATCGCAAGTGGAAAAAAAAAACTCTCAATTCTGAAAAATAAAAACGTCACCTTGCGTTCGGTTTTGATTGAACGCCCACGATTATTATATTTCGCCAGAATATAATAGGTATAATGAGTGCCCATACTTGCGATACGCGTGGTACTGACTCTTAGACGATGTGGCGAATTGTATATATATATATATGTGTGTGTGTATGTGTGTGTGTGTGTGTGTGTGTGTGTGTGTGTGTGTCGAATATAGCTGCTGTATTTTGTTCGCTGTTTACGTGTAATAATAATATAGTAATATTATGACGTATGCCTTCATCGCGTACGATGTTTTGCACTTATAAGCTGTAGGATATAGGACGTGGTTGTGATTGGCTTCTTGAACGTGGGTTTCCCTTTTGTTCTGATAAATAATAATAATGTATAGTCAAATTGTCGTCGATTTAAGAACGACCGAATACATATATAATATATATATAAGCAGTAAAATTTGTATTTATAATTTTTATTCAATTATTCGCTTAACACATAGTATCAACTTACATCGATTAAAATAATAATTAATAATAATACATGCCACTGCTATGTACAATAATATTACAGAATAATAATAATAATAATAATAATAATAATAATGATAATATATTATGATATTTTAAGTCAAACAACGTTATATTTTAAAATAAAAAGCGTTTTATCGTTAAAAATCGGTGACAATACAAATTAGCACATATAATATAACTAAGAGCAAAATAAAATAAAAAATAATGATAAAAAATAAATTCACAATATTATTACAATCTTACGTGTTGGTAATAGATGATGGAAACCGTAAAAGTACGTCAAAAGATATTAACCGAAAATATTACGCCTCATATAAAATGATAATAATTAATATTATATTATTATATTATAATGTGAAGCGATTCAATAGTGAGTTGACATAATTCTTATTTTTATTAAAATGTAACGTATTATATATTATAATGTATATTATATTATTCACATGACTAGATAACGTGCAGTATAACACGAGACGTCGTATACCGAATAAAAACACACGAATTTGATTTATTTTAACTTTGATGGTTTCATTTTGACTTAAATTTTTTTTTTTTACAATTAATTATTATTATATTATTACGATTTTGTGGAATTTACGCCTCGCGATAAATAATAATATTACAATAGTCATCGTATGTACACCGCGTAATTATAGGATAAAATGTACAACGATATTTTCATATATATGTATATATATACAACACAAATATTTATACAAAACAAAATAGATTAAGGGGACAAAAACATTGGTTAGGACTCCGGTGAAACGAAATGGTATAACACCTATATCATAAATATATATATATATATATTATCGGCAGCGCCGGGACAACGACGGCCGCGGCGTATGAAGACTGTACCCGCGACACCCAATAATGTTACAATATAATATATTATACCTAATTAATTAATTAATATTATATAAAATAATATTTTTAATGCCGGACGTGCGTCACGGTCGGTTGTTCTTGCTGCGATGCGGCGTCCTCGTCGAGCAGTTGATGGGACCTCCGACAACGGCCTGCGAACAAAAACGACAAACGAATAAGTTTCCGTGCACGACTAAATAATTATTACACTATTAGAATGGGGTCGGGTAAAAAACACTGCGCGTGATTTAAAACGATTTAAGTTCGAAGTCCGGCAAAGTCGCACGCCACTTCGGGCCCGTCACCACTGAATTTCGGGTTCAAAGCGTGCGCACACGATAACAATTTACGGTGTGGTTCACCCCGAGCATGATCACTCCACAACGTCTTCCTTTGATAATACATTTGTTCGGATTCTTATTTTTTGAATTTTCAAGTAGGTACATACGTAACGACCATGTTCTCAAAAACTTAACATTTTTTATGGGGTCCCAAATTAAATATTTGAAAATATGGTTCATAAGTATATCTATTTGGAAAATTCCGAAAATCTGAGTTTGAATAAATTCATAATTAGAGAAAATTAGACATTGCTCGGTGGATCATATATCTATCGTCCTATCGACCATCATCATAGGGTACTACACAGCTACGTGTTGAATCGCGCTGTTATAGTGATTATGCGATAACGATAAATATTGATCGATTGATGAATCGATGAGAAAAAAATCCAAAAGAAGCTAATTGGTAACTTGAAAAATATTCCCTATACGTGAGCGGTTGTGCCGGTCAGCTGATTGTCGTCGTCGTTATTGATACGTCGTTCGTTTCGTTTCGGTGGCGTCATTTAATTAATTTTTTTTTATTTTGAACTCGGAAACCTTTAAACAGGCAACTCAGATTTTGAAGAGCACACTGCAAATTATTCGGGCTAAATGCCAAATAGTGCCATATACTACAGGATTTGGAACACGCAAATGTATACCTATTACGGTTCAATAACATTACCGAACGCGATCAAACCCATCGCGTCGTATCATTTCGGGAGAGATTATCCGACGAAATTATAAATAATATACCTATACCTACTCGCATTCGTTAATCGAAGTCGTCTACGGTAAAACCGTTAAGTCCGACGAAATACGACCCGAGAAATCGTTTTCGGACGCGCATTTGAGCCACACCCGTGCACGGCTGTACACATGTATAGGTACTATATGATAACAATATAATATACTCTCCGTTTTCACGTCGATTCGTTAAACGATAAGTGCGCAGCGTAATAATTAAAGCGCGCCGCGCTCGTTTTAATCAGTTTTAATTAAATGCCGCAACTGTTTGTAGTGAATATTATGCCACGCTAATGACCGATGGGAGGTAGCGGGCCCTCCCTAGACGTCTTCGTCCTCGGCGGGCGTATAATAATTAGACGACAACCCTCTCTCGCCGCCAAGTCATTGAACCAGAAAACCCCACACACAATTTTCGCGTCAATCGAGGTCCATACGTATACCCCACACAGGGTCAAGTAGAGGTGGGTACATGTAGCACGTTGGGCATATACATATATACATATTCCATTATGTACCATAGAGGCTTTAAACGTATTATGTGTGAGCGAAAAGGTGCAAAGTCGGACGACGACTACACGAAATGGAAACCATAGATGTAGAACGTTTTAGTGGACTATATTTTATTGTGCGCGAAGAGGTTCATTGCAAACGGTTCAGCTAGTTTAATCGCATTGAATTCGCATTGAAATCAATTAAAATTAAGCCAAACAATATGTATCAATCATGAATTATGATTATTAATTTCCCCAACAAGTGTTTTATTTCGTCGAATTTTGTGTACATATTTTACATTAGTGAATAGTCCGTTAGTATTGAAAAACTCAACGAATATTTAAAAAATGGCTGTCAGTTTCCATTTTAAATTATAGAATATTATATTGTTATCTTTTAAAAACCTTCATCATCAAACGAATCATAGAATTATTGCTCCATCACTGATGACGTGTAACCCCCGATTGACACCGATTGCATGTGCAAAACTACTAAACGAACTGATTATTCCCTGAAATTATGTGGGTACTTGTCGTTTATCATACGGACCATTATATCTATCTATTTATCAGATATTATAATTTATGAAAACAGAATAATAACTGAACACGTAGATAACTTTTACACATTTTTCATTTATATATATGAATTTAATATAACAACTCAAGTCTGGAACTTTAAGATCTCAAATTCCAACTACTGATAATTTAACATTAATAATTCAAAAAGTATAGGGAATTTGAACTTCAGTATAAACTTCACGAGAAGTTCAGGTTGCTGTTTTCAGAAATCGTATCCCTCTATAAATTTGATCGGTGCGATAGACAAATATTATAATGGGTTTGTTTTGCATGGTACAAACCGTTGAGAGTTCACAAAAAAGCTTTGGTTGTGAATCCAAAACTCTGGTCAAAAGATTTGATGATAAATCACCGGAAATGACTCAAAAAATCGTTCGAATTTTTTTTATTTAAGACCCACCGAGACGAGTGTTCAACAAAAAATGACAACACAAATTAGGACGTACGCACAACATATAATAATATTACTACGTGGGACACACGCCACGAAAACCGCCGTTAATCGAAATATATAGACTTACCCAAATATTTGGAAAAGTCCAGCGGTCGGGGCGCGTAGTCCAACAGGGGTGGACACTCGGCGTCGTCGTGTCTGACCACCTTGTGGAGAGCGGGCGATGCGCCGCCGGTGCTGCGGTAGGCCAGGACGAGGGCCAGCAACAGGAACACGGCCACGCCGGCTCCGGCCGCGGCCAACAGCTGCCACTCGGCGTGCCCTAGCCCGGCGGCCACGGCCACGGGCGCCGATAGCTCGGCCGTCACGTCCTCCTCCCCGGCCATCACGGCCACAGTGTCCACTCCGGCCGCCGCTACAACAGCCGCCGCGTCTTCGTCTTCGTCTGAACCACTGTCGTCGCTCCAACGGTCCGAAGCAGCCATCTCCGCCGCCTCGGCCGCCACCGCAGCCGCCGCCGTAGTGACTTCCACCGCAGCGGCCGTCGAGTGCACAGCGCTCCTGGTGTCCAACAGCAGCGTCGGGCTGGTGGACATTTTCACTGACTCATCGGCTCCACCCAGCAGAGACACCTGTAACAGGACGCAAAAAGATCGAGGTTAGCATAATATTATGGTTTTTACGGTGGTCGAATGCCCTGCACTTTTAAAACTAAATAAAATATTTGATAATAATATACGTCACGTCGAGTGTGTGCCCCATGTTTGCGGTAAAACTATAATAGACTGAAGTTACATTATTTTTTTTAAGTTTGTCATCAATAAATTGCAATAATATATTCATAGAATACACACACACACACACACACATACACAGATTTTTTAATGTAAATTGTGATTTGTTAAGCTGATTACTTGAAAATATTTATGTATATAAATTGAAATTGGAACAAGTGTTTTCTGACTAGTTAAACATATTAATGTATTGCCTAAGAATAATACTAATATACTAATGAATCATAACTATAGGTTTTTAAACACATATATAGAGTCTATGATGATTTATCATTGTAATTATTAATTTGATTAGGTACCCATATTTAAACATTGTATAACTTTGCTGCATACCTATAATCAGTGATGAATTAATTATGATACGTATCTACCATACTTTGGTCTTCAAGTATAAATACTTCCAAATTTATAACATCAGAATTTGAATAAATGCATTATTAAAAGATGAACAGCGGAGGGTCAATATTCGAGGTAAATAACCCTGCCTGTACAATATATATATATACTATGTTTTAAATCGATTAAAACGCGCACACATACGATGGTATATAGAGAATTTTCAAGAACGACTAGGATTGTTTTTTTTTTAATTAACGGATTTAACGTTCCGCCATTAGTGCCACCCTGTCGCGTCAAAGCTCTATACTGCACACATGAGTATTTATTAAGGTTGTAATTTCGTATACGGAATTAGTTTTGTCGGGTTTTTAAATAATTTCGATTAAATACGATTTTATCACTGTTCGTTCGGTTTATTTTTTTTAAATTTAAATTCCTGCATTATTATAATTACCGCAGAAAATTTATGTTCAGCATTATTATTATTAGTATTTTTTTTTTGTAACGAAAATTGCTTGCTTTGTTATTATTAACGATTGTTTGGCTAGCGTTCGAGTGTGATCTAGCTAAATAGATTAAAAATAGTATTTTAAAACATAATGAAGTATACGCAAGCACGCTCCTTTTGGAGATTGCAAACTGTAGTTTTGGACAATATAAAGAGAGTTCTTAAAAAAAATATATGCCATTTTCTTTTGAATAACGACCACGCGTACTCTATATTTATTTCTGCTTTTTGCAGGGCATAATAATGCGCGAGTGTGGTAATGGAAAATGTCAGCGTCCCACCGAGTCGCCGTTTTACACACACACACTTATATATAAAATTTGATATACATATACACAGCACATTCTTAAATGGCTGTTATAGATGTCTGCGAGTCGTAAAAAACGTTATTATACGCTTAAATATTTTTCTACATTGTAAAACGCTAATAATAATAAAATGGCGTCTAAAAAACGGGGCAGCAAGGACTCAAGTTGTGTACGCAGCCGAACACCGAAGCCGGAAAATATTTCGACGGGACCCAAAGACGCTCGCCATCCGGAGGCCAGCAATTTTCATCTCGGGAACTTATTATACGTATTTTATTATTTAAACATTATGTCTATATCTTCATCTTACCCAAGTACCCGACGTAACAACGAGCGCCATCGGCTGCTGTTACAGGCCCCGGCAAACGCATTCTTACCGATTTGATACTCGCGCGGAGCAAGTATAACAGAGAAACAATATTCTTTATAGAAAATATCTGTCTACATTACAATATAGTTACGGGGGTGAGGGTTCAAAGAATATAAAATATGTATTTATTTTATATAGTGTGTAATTATTATGATAACCCTCCCCCCTCCCATATGGGACACCGTTTAAATGAGTAGGAGAGGATGTGGTTTAGTTACCAAGCGTAAATCAAAATATAAGAATAAGTATAGATGAGATGCGATTATAATTATAATATACCCGGGTAGTCGTATTAACCAAAGATATTTGTGCAATAATGTGAAATAATATTCGATGTTTAGGTATAGTACTCGAGGTCAATTATTATTAGTATCACACGAATTATACTATGCGGTATCAGAAAGGTAAGACATTTAAAAAAAGATGTTTTTCCTTTTGAGTTTTCGTCATATTGTCGATACCAGTGAGCGTCACGCACGAGAGCCGGCCAACCGTCGTTTTATACTGTCCGAAGTTATTATTCGTGTTTCGGGGAGGTCACTCGAGAATAGCTGAGCTCGAATTCGATCGCTCATTTGCCGGACGTTCGTCCGAAACATGGTGATAATAATAATATACATCTCATAGGAAATCGTACGGCGCGGCCATGTTTCTAGGTTGTGAGAAAAAATAACCCATTGGACGACGATGAATTCGCTATAATTAATACGGTTCCTAGTTTTAATACAAAAACCTAAATTGCTTGTTAGGAAAAAAAAACAAAAAAAAAAAAAAAATTAAAACGATTTTAATTTAATTAACACGGTTCGTGTGTTTTCTGAGCACGAAGGTTAATTATAATTGTCTATTCTTTTTGTGTTTTAATGTGTTCCGGCGGCTCGTATTCCAAAATGATTTGTCATTCCGTACGCCTTCTTTTAATTACTGACAGCAAGTGGAGCAACAAAAATATAAAAACTATATATAGTTATAGAACAATATATACTCACACAATTCATCTTATTCTCTACGCGTAGGTACATGTTGCGTGCATTTTCGTTGGATGAGAAGTTATAAGAACAATACCTTATAGTTTGAACGCAATGACCACGACCGTACTATTATTTCTATTCATCGCGAAATACGTTTCGCGTTTTCAACATCGACTATGATTATATTATATAATTATTTGCATTTTCGCAGACTACGCTGCAGCTATACACAAAAACTGTTCCACCCATCACGTTTGAGCGATAACTTCTGCAGCAGTTTCGTTTGAATTGCGTTTTTCGTTTTAGTCGGACAAAAAGATAGAAATACCAATACGCGGTAAAGACAAAAAATCTATAATAAACTATAATTCATCATCAACTACTCTTTATTGAGAGTATGATACTGTAAGTACTGTTGTATATGTTATCGTAAAAACACGCGAAACAGTATATTATGTATCTAATTGGGTTGAAAAAATACGACGAAAAACCGACGATATGCCGGAGGTGTGTAGAGGCGTCTTACATTCGAAATGATTGCGAATTACGTCCCGGAAACGATTCATTCGCTGCAGGCTTGCGAAAACTGACAACGTTTCGTACACACATCGCAGATGGGGGATGTGCACGCGCCCTAAGTAATTACTCGATTAAAAGCGTACTATATACTCTTAAGAGCGTTTGTTTAATTTGCAACATGCGCTTCTTTTGAAAAGTTACGTTAATTCGGTAACAATTAGCATAATAGTATACTTGAATTTCGAGTGAAATTCACCCGAATTATCAGAGGGTAAAAATTAATACCCATTTATCTCTTTCCCGCGCTTGCACAAACAAGAAGGTACGCGAACGTTCCATACCAGCACGGAATATATTATTCACTGAAACAAATAAAAAATAACACTAACGTGGTGTTTCGTGTGTTTTCGTAATGCTAAATCTTTTATCTTCGTTGTATATATTATATAATCTTGGGTGAATAAACCGTGGCGACGACGGCTGCAGGTTCGATTTGTTTAAATCGAAATTAAATTTATTAACACTCGATATTTGTCAAGAGGGCGTAAAAAAAATGTAAAACAAGTCGAAAAGACTCGAGTTGGCGACTGCGACCAGTAGACAGTGAACGTAATAATATATCAACACAATAAAACGAAAAATTCCCGAAAATGAGAAGAGAAATTGAAAAAGTTTTTGGAGGCTAAAGTTCCTCTTTTATAATACTTCTTAATGATATTTATAACGGAGTTACGGGGGTTGTCAAAAGAACGAAGAATTTCCAATTTTACGAGCCATTTAACGTCCTTTTCCCCGGCGTACTTTTTTTCTGGTTTTTTTTTTTTTTTTGTTCTACCGTTGGAAATCCGTTAATACGTCACCCCGGGGCCAGAAGTTAATAACAAAGAGAAAGTGAAAAAAAAGTGACACCGTGGTGGGTTTTTATACTGCAGCAAAAAGAAAATGTTGGAAGTAGCCGAGTGGAAAAATGAGAGATTCTCTGCCCGCGGTGGTTGGACGCCGTTGTGTGAATGGGTGCGGGGACGAGTAGAGGATAGAATAAATGATCGAAAATCCCGACGAATCATGAAACACACTTAAGCCGGACCCAATTTCAGACCTGCGAAACCAATGGCAAATCGATATACGCGGGATCCTTGAGCTTTTAGAGGTCTGAAATTGTTTCCGTGTACGATCAGCGGGATAGATATACACGTATTCGCATATTATATAATATATATATATTATATGATACAATATATACTGCACATAAATATATACTATATATAAGTTCGGAATGGCGAGTAAAAAAAAAAAGAAAAAAATACAGTTGACCCAAATCGTTTAGCTATTTAAATTTTTATGTAGAATTCGATTAGGATAGAAATACATTATACTATACGTAATACGAGTACATAAACTACTTATCGCGATGTGATAAACGCGTACATCGTTACTGTAGTCGCGAGCAGTGTACATCATAAACGGCGAAACATGTAATAGGTTTAGGTATACGTTTATCATATATATATATATATATATATATTATACTACGGTGAACTGAAAATTGTTTTCATTCTCCGTAACTATCGTAATATTAAATCTGCTCACAAAATAAGCGATTATAGTTGTGCCTACGCTTAGAAGACCAGCTTATATTATATTGGACCTCCATAACGCACGCAATATTACATATGCGTAGATACGAGAACGTGTGACGCATTATATATATATATATGACATCGCATAGACGCAGATAAATAATAATATATTATGCGACGTAAAATTTCTGCCACCGAGCGACTCTAAGCTATTTATGAAGAGACAGCGATTGGTGCCGAGTC